AGGGGTAGTGCTGCACCAAGGAAGCTCGAGGCAGAGCTTGGCATGGCGGACCAGTCAGCAGCAGCAGCATAGCTGCTTTGGGTTGTCCTTTGGACAGGAGTGCAGCGCCATAGTTGCTTCGGGTTGTCCTTTGGACAGGAGGGCAAGGCCCTCAGTAGTCCGCCATAGCCTATGCATGTGAGAGGAGGCAGAAGGAGGGAAGCCATAGCTATGGTGGACTTGTTGTTGTTGTTGTTGTTGAGTCAGCAGTAAGAGAGAACTTCGGATATTGATTCTGGTTCATCCACTCATTGTTATTATTATTATTGGGAGAAGAATAAGATTGGCGAAGTGAAGGAGGAGGAGGAAGGTGGAGAGAAGGGGGAATTGTCATTGGTCTTGCTGGTGTACATCTTCTTCTTCTTCTTCTTCTTCTTCTTCTTCTTCTTCTTCTTTCTCTCTCCTCTGGTCTCTATCTCTTTGCAAGTGCTTAAATCTCTTTCGCAATTGGGTGGCATTGTCTTTCATTGTGAATTTGCACTTCGGGAAGGTCCAGGATCGGGCGCGGTTGGGAGGGAAGAGGACTGCAAGCACGGTGAGGGTGGTGGTGCTATGGACGATGACATCCCTCCATCTCTTCGGACTAACCTGCGAGGGGCGGCTGGCAGGTTCAGCGGTTTGGGCTCGCAACGTGGTTTGCCACGGTCCGTTTATCTTCATCGAGTGGCTTTTGAGGATGGTCGAGTGAGTGTCGACTACAAGGTGGCCAGTCTTTGCTGGCAAAGTCGATGAAGGAGGAGGTGTGGTTTGGAGGCGGGAGGGGTGGTTAACGAAGCGTGGGGACTTGGGGTACTCTTCTCCAGCTAGGCTTTTGTCCCTCTAAGATGATTTTTCTGGTTGAGTGATAGGACTTGCTCTAGTATGTAGTTTTTCTCCCTATTTCTCATAATTTGATTTCTATCTGTTAAATCGCATTCTTATATCAGTCAAATGATGCTCCTATTTTCTGCGGCGGTTCCTTCTGATAACAATGGTTTCTCGAAAAAAAATTCTTAAACTTCATCGTGTCATACAGCTTTGCTAAACATTTCTCGATCTGATTCGAAAATCCTTTACGGATATCTGAACCTAAACTTCGTATAATTTTTTCGATGTTGTTACCCAGTAGCTTTCCTCGTCATTGATCGTACGGTCTTGATTTTTTCCTGATTTCGAGATTCTATTTCGGAAATTTCTGGACATCTAAGCCTAAATCCGAATGGTTCCCTTAAATGCACATGTCGTAATCCTTTTCTAATGGATTTCCTTCCTTGGAAACAATTTAAAGTGATTTTCTGAATTTTCGATTCGAAGTCAAAGAGGTAGGTCTTGGTTTTGACTTTCTTGTTTCTGTGTAATAATCTGGAGAGATTTTATGTTCTTAAACTTCGGTTCAAAATGAGCAAGCATGGAGTAGATGATTCTAATTTCTCGTTTTGGTAACGGGTGGTGGTTTTTCAGGTTTGTCCTTAGGGGACCGTCCCGTATGGAGAGGGTTGGGATGGAGGCTGGGGGAACCACTATTCTGCGGGGACTGGCTTTTGGTGGGAACTGCTC